AGATGGAGCAGGCCGACCACCAGCTGGCCCAGCCCAAGGGAGGTAAGGCACCCGCTGGAAAAGGGGGAAAAAATGGCAGACAAAAAAAATGGCGGACAAAAAAAAGGCGGACAGCCTTGCTTGACGACCCCTGTGAAATGGTCGATCGACCCCAAATGGGGTCCCGACCCATAGGTTGAGAACCGCTGATTTAGATAAAGACATTCCAATCTGGCTTGTGTCCAGGAAGTCTCCCAATGCCCTTTAGAAACTCCTCCCACTAACCTACTAACATGCTATAGCTGACTAGCTAAAACTACATTTCCCATAAGCCATCTCTTAAGGAGACAGCACTTAACCCAATAAATGCCAGATATTCTAACATACAGATACATGCTCTAGTTAGGGTTACATAGAGTTACATGATCCAGAACAAGGTCCCTGTGGCTGCCATTGCTCTTGAATAAAGAATTTAACTTCATGCAAGTGCCTGATCCTGGCTCAAAAGCAGACCTGGTAAGGAATGTGTCAACATCCAGCTCAAGAATCCAAATAAAACTCCAGGTTCATTCCATCTCTGAATTTTTACTGTTTATTGAATACATTGCATGGTGATGTCAAAGCAAAACTAACTCTGAGGTTCCAACACCAATTCATAGACTTAAACAATAATTTTCCCAGCCAAACCCCCAAACATCTTACATAGTCCATATAAACGAGTTCACTTTGTTATGGGAACTGTCTGCTTCAATCCACACCTGTTATGGTGTCCTTGAAAAGGTTTCAGGCTCTCTCAGTGGAATCTTAGAAGTTTCATTTCTCCATCTAATCCTTCCCCCCCTTACTCTAAAGGCAAGTTGAAATACAGAGGCATGTAACTGCCAAAGTTTCATCCTTGACAAAATGACATTCCAACTGTAAAGCAGCACATGACAAATCCACAAGCAGGCAGTGTCACACCGAGACCATTTTTCTCATTAGCTATCTCAGTGGTGGCAAACCTATGGCACGGGTGCCAGAGGCGGCACTCAGAGCCCTCTCTGTGGGCATGCACGCCATCGCCACAGTCCTAGGCCTTCAGCTGGGTTTTATAAAACCGTTTCGCTTTAGGCCTCTGCCACTGTGTGCAAAAAATCTTGCAAAGTGGAATTGATTGATTGAACTTTTTAGTCCCACCCAGTCTGCCGTTACCACCACAACCACGCCCTCCCAATGGGATACGCCCAGCCAATGGGCCACGCCCAGCCAATGGGCCACACCCACCCGGCACCCAACGATGCATAAGTGGGTTTTGGGTTGCAGTTTGGGCACTCGGTCTCTAAAAGGTTTGCCATCACTGAGCTATCTCCTTCATTATTCTTTTTTGGGCACCAGTTAAAATGAGAAACATCTGGGATCATTTCAGAAACAACTGGAGTAATGCTTAAATGGCCTTCTCAACATTCTCCACCTCCGCTACGCTACACATCACAGCTAAGCAGCTTAAGATACTTTGCAAATACAGCTTCTGAACTGGTAATTGAGCATAAAGAACTTAACTGAATTTTAGGTTCAATCGTCCATGTCTGAGTCCAACTTCACTGCCACCTTGCAAACAATGTATGCTAATTCCAAATGCCACTGGAAAATTGGCATCGTTTCCATAATTATTCAAAAAATAATGTCAATTTGCACAAATGACGAAACTTCCGATTTCAAAGGTACGTCTTTTGTGCCTAATGGGATAGAAATCTATTTTCCTCAGGGTGTCAAGGCAGGTACAATGTGTTCCTTGCATCTTCCCCAAAGGCAACAATCCCACTAGGAAGATGGAGCCGAGATGCAGAGAGACTGGTCTAAATCTAATTTTGTGGCTGAGGGTGAGCTAGGATCAAGAACATCTGGACCTAAAGCACATCCCTCCAACCCAAACGGTCAAATAAATTGAGGCACTACTGTATGTGCGAACCCCACCAATAAGTTGCCTCAGCAGAGGTCAGGAGAACTTGGTCACCCAGCCCATGTTCTCACGTTGAATCTCCAGCAACAAGATGCAACAAGTTTAGATGGCTGAAGAGCAGGCCTGAGGCACATCAGTCATTCCCAATTCCAAGCCACATCAGCAGATTGCAAGGACTTCCCAGGTGGCTCTTTTTTTCATAGGAGGTGACAGAGTCTGAAGACTCAGCAAGTCTTGAAATGTTTGGCCAGGTGAGACCACCTCCAACCTTTCCTGAAGCTTCCAAGATAGGGCAACGGGTATGCTCTGTGATGCTTGCCAGAGGTTTTGACACACTTGTTATGGAAAGTGTAGCACGGAATTTGTTAAAGGGCTCTGTTGAATCACGGACGTTTGGTAAATCACGTTGTTCCTCAGAAATAAACCAGCAGGAACCCGACAAAGATACTTGAGAAGAGGCTTCACATTTTTTTTTTTTGGCTGCTGCAGAGTGGATTTTCACACCCTAACCACCCTGCTTGATCCGCACACATGACGTATGTTGTGGGAATGCAATTTAAGCCACCACAGGAGCAGCCCTCTCTTATCCAAAGGCACTCCGCTTGAAGACTTCCATCTGACAACATTTCTCAACTCTTAATCCCCTGGTGCTCGGGAATTATTTTTAGGAGCGTTCTGGGTCCCGTGGAATTTGCCGTTTTAATGAAGCCCATCCTTTTTCACGGCTTTGCATAGCTGCAATCGTTCTGGTCGACAGTGAAGGGATTCTGCATGATCGCCTCTAGCAGGAAAAGGCTTTCCTCAAGTTCCCCTTTTCGGCAGGAGTTAATCTTGACTTTGGATGAGCTCCAAAAACAGAACCAAGCGGAGAAAGTAAGCCGCAGCCAAGAAATCTGCATTTTCTTGTCAAGGGAGCCCAGAGAAATACAGAAGACGTGATTCCTGCACCCTAAAACAGGTAATTTCAGGGTCTAAAACCAGGGCACCACACCTTCTGGGGGATTGTGCTAATTCCAGAACAACAATAGTCTTGTCCCTGTTTATATTGTTTCTGGGTGTGTTAGACTGTCAAAACCAGACGGATGGTTTGCTCTCGAGAGATGGGCTCTGCTCAGTCACCTCTTGTCATGTTTTGCTAATCTTAGAGTCTTTCAGCCACTCAAGAATGCAGGTGTGTAGTCTTGTGGTTTTGTGTTACAGTGTACATGATTATGATAACCAGGCAAGTTGTATTCCAGTGTGATTTGGCTGCCTGATTTTAGCAGCTGGCTTGGATTGGAAAACTGCTTGTCTAGAGCTAAGTGTACACTTTCTAATATCGGTGCACTTGTCAGACAGCTACAGCATGGTGGCACACAAACCCATTGTGCAATGTAGACAAAAATATGGGGGATTTATCTTTCAAGTAGCTTAACTGGAAGTGACTTTGTCAAAGAGCTCTGAATTCCAAAGTCAATTAAAGTATTACTTACCTTTCCCTCCCTGACTTCACCTCCCCTCTTTTTTTTTTTTTTTTTTTTTTGAAAAAAGGATGGAAGATCTAGAATAAAAGTACCCAAGTATAAGAGCACAGCCTGAAACTATGGAGACATATGTCTAACCTTATGTCAAACATCTGACATTGGCCTAACATCTCATCAGATCTGAGATGCAGGTCCTGTTTGTTAGGGGGGGGGGACATTTGGGGGTCCCAGGGTTGGGTCTTTTCAGCTGTGGTACCCGCCTTATGGAACATTCTCCTCCCTAAAGTGAGGTGAGCTCCATCCCTGTTAATATTCCAGAAGACCCTCAAGACCTCACTAAGTCTGAGAGTCTCAGAGAACCGGTAAGATCTTGAGGTGGCTTCAGTAGTGAGGTTCACATTCTTTTCTCTTGGGCTTTGTAGTTTTTATATGTTTTTTTAAAAAATAATGACTGTTTTGAGATATATATATATCTCAAAGGGGACACTAATGAATGAGAATCGTGATAGGACGGCTACAGCAGAGCTTCGTGATAGGGAGGAAAGCAATGCATGTGTGGTTGTAGGGAAAACTTGTAGGAAGAGGGAAAGTGGGAAGGAAGCCACAACGGAGGATGCTAAAAAGAAAAATAGGGAGAGCAAACAACAAGAAAATGCACTGCACATGAAATCAAAGACCCCCCTCAACCTACGACCAAAAAAGGGAAAGAGTAAGGGCGAGGGTAAAGAAAGTAAAAACGTAACAGCTAGCAATATGGATCTTAGAACTCAAACGCAGGTGGATTGGCTGGGACCTGTGACGAGGTCCAGGAGCCTGGTGCAAAGAGCACCATTCCCATAAATAGCCTTCCCATCGACTGGAGGTTACCCTGATGATGCTGGCAGCTGCCGGCGAAAGCTTGGTATTTTAAAATTTTATTAAAACTTTTTATAGTTTTTAAAAACTTCCTGGTGGCCTTACATTTTTGTACTTGCTAACATGAGTTTACCCAGGAATCACCTTTTTATTTTTAGAATACTTAATAATAATATATATATATATATAATGAGATGGGCGACCATATAAATGTGACAGATAAATATGTGATAGCTAGATAGATAAAAATGTGATAGATAAATATCATAGAAATGTTTAGAAGCATTGGATGTTCCAGCTGGACATTCAACCTACAATGTAAGTTCATCTGCTGCTCAAGAATTCCTGATGACCACCCAATCTTTGGCTTGACATTTCTGACTTTGGAGAAGCTGCCATTTTTCCAAAACCATCTGCTTGCACCGTCAGCAGTTCCTTTCTTGGACCACCTGGGAAATGCAGAAGTACTCTATATTTCTGTAGGGTAGATAGAGAAGAGGATGACATTCTGGTCTTCCTTCCTCCTTTTGACCATATCTTGTGGTTCCCCTGAGCTTGGGAAAAGTTTCTTTGTCACTAATTCATAGAGTTGTTGGATTAGAGATGCTGAAATTCTACCATCTAGTGATGAATTTGGGGAGCACCACAATGAGAGAGAACATGCATGGTCTGAGTGATTTCTTTTTTCTTGGCTTGCTGTTGTAAAGATTGTGAGTCAAATAACATTGATTCTCTTTTTTCCAGGTTTTTTTCGACCATCTTATTTCTTAATCCTCCTACTCTGTAAGCTCCCGTTACATCATGAATGTTAATCTCACTGGTCCGGGCATCTCCAATGCATCCTTGACATCCTCCACGGATACCAAGTTGGACGTGAGCAAGCTCATGGACATGCTTCAGATCTTCTTCTACACAGTTCTGTTTCTACTTGGTTCCCTGGGCAATGGAGCGGTGATCTGGATCACAGTCCGCCAGACTTCACGGACCATCAGCTGTGTCTGGTTCTTCAATCTAGCTCTGGCTGACTTTCTCTTCTCAGTCACCCGGATTGTGCCTCTCTTGAAGAACGCTTTTAATAGCGGGTGGCCCTTCGGAAGCTTCCTATGCAAAGCCAACAGCTTCATCAAGTATCTCAACATGTTTGGCAGCGTCTTCCTCTTAGCTGCCATCAGCATAGACAGGGCAGCGTGTGTAGCCTATCCAATATGGACCAAAAGGCACCGGGGCAGTCGCTTGGCATGGGTCGCTGCCATCGGAGCTTGGTTAATGGCCATTGCCACAAGTGTTCCTTTCTACCTCTACCGCGGCATAAAAATTGACAAGTCTAACAAGACCAAGTGCTCCTTTGCCCTGGAGGGAAACGAAACTGCCAAACTGGCCATCTACATGTTGAGACTGATTTGTGGGTTCTTGGCCCCTTTCGCCATCATTGTGATCTGCTACGGCATCATCGTTGTGGTGCTGAGGAGACGGCGGGCTTCCATCCGTTCCAAGAAACCCTTCAGGGTCATCCTGGTTCTTGTGGTCACGTTCTTCCTCTGCTGGGCACCATATCACATCTTCCAACTCCTCAAATTGGCAAAGGTGGAAAGCCTAGGAATTTCTATTGGCCTCCCGCTCTCCTCCTTCCTGGCCTACCTCAACAGTTGTGTCAACCCTATCCTTTATTTTTTCATGGGCATGGACTTCCACCGAAAGCTGACTCTTTACAACATGAGGGCGGCATTCAGGAGAACCTTGTTCGAAGACAGTGGCACCTCATTTAGGAGCAAATACAGGAAGGAGATGGCTTCTTCCACTGATGAGATACCTCAGTCTTCAGTGGTCCCTCAGATGCATCGCAAAACCTCAACCCTTCCAAGTTCAGTTTAGGAAACTCATGTGGATTAGGAACTCACGGGTGACAGGTGAAGAACATAGACATAGAACATAGAATCATGGAGCTGGAAGGGACCTTGAAAATCTTCTAGTCCAGCCTCCTGCTCAAGGCAGGAGACCTTCTACCATCCCAGTCAAATGGCTGTCCAATCTATTTTTGAAAACCTCCAGTGATGGAGCACCCACAACTTCTAGAGCAAGTCATTCCACTGATTAATTGTTCTCGCTGACAGAAAATTTCTCCCTAATTCTAGGCTGGACCTCTCTTTAATAAGCTGGCACCTGTTGCTTCTTGTCCTGCCCTCTGGACAGGACAACACATGAGGAAGACAGCAGTCTGATGGAGGCTGGATCCGTCACACCCATTACCTGAGAAATACAAGATTTCTTTTCTTTTTTCTGCTTTCATTCCATCCACCCGTCTTCCCTATTGATATTTCCTGGACATTGTGAAGCTACAAATACTCATGTGTTAAAAGGAAGCTTTATCTTCCATCCTGAACTTCAAGCGATGGGTGGTTTTGCTTTATATTCGTCATGTCTGTTATTTTTCTTTGATTCTGATGTACATACAGTGTGTATAAACTTTCAGCTATATTTGTACATTTATGTCTTTGGAAAGCTTATTCAACCAACTCTGATATTAGCAGCCCTGCCTGAGGTGCTTCTAATTTTAACCAAAACCTAAGCCATCATGTCGCATTCTAAAACCAATATTAAGGAAGCATAAAAATTAGATGCTTTTTTAAAAAATAAAATAAAATAAAGGGAATGTGTCCTTTACAGCCTGCCTGCTGTGACTGACTCGGCTGGGTGGGGAATTCTGGGGTCTTAAAGCTGCCAAGGTTGACCAACATAGATCCAGACTTTCAGCCTTGATTAAAGTGCTTGGAAATGTTGAATACTGCAGTCAAAAACATCTGGAAGGGGCCGCCAGATGCTCAGAAAAACCTACAAAACCTTTCAAGTCTTATTCCGTTGCGCAATTATTGCTTTCTCTGTGTGTTTTCTTTTCGTTAAAGTGGGTATTCTTGTCACATCATGATGTCATTTTGTTTATTGATTCGTGCTCTGGGCTCCGGCAGTTGGATAGCCTTTAAATAAACATATTTCCATTATTTATAGCAAGTAAACAAAAAAATAAATAAATGGAATCACGTGGCCAAAAGGAGGGTCCTCCCCCTCCGTCTCGTCTCTCTAGTTTAGCCAGGCGGTGGAGTTTTATATCAGTCAGGCTGTCTTTCCTTCCATGATCACAAAACGACACATATGAATTGGTAACCAATGTTGTCTTCGGAGCAACCTTGCAAAGGAGATGAAGAGAGAAAGGTCACAATAATAATAGTAATAATAGTAATAATAGTAATAGTAGTAATAATAGTAATAATAGTGGTGATGATGATGACGATGATGATGATGATGATGATGATGATGATGATGATGATGGAAGGGACCTTGGAGGTCATCTAGTCCAATCTCCTGCTCAGGCAGGAAACCCTAGACCATTTCGGACAAATGGCTGTCCAGTCTCTTCTTAAAAACTTCCAGTGTTGGAGCATTCACCACTTCTGGAGGCAGGTTGTTCCACTGGTTAATTGTTCTAACTGTCAGGAAGTTTCTCCTTAGTTCTAGGTTGCTTCTCTCCTTGGTTAGTTTCCATCCGTTGCTTCTTGTCCTGCCCTTAGGTTCTTTGGAAAATAGCTTGACTCCCTCTTCTTTGGGGCAGCCCCTGAGATATTGGAAGACTGCTATCATGTCCCCCCTTGTCCTTCTCTTCCTTAAACTAGACATACCCAATTCCAGCAGCCATTTTACTTCGTGGCTAGGTCATTCCTTTCCAGGGGTCTGTTCAGACAGTCAGCAGTGATCAGACAGTTGCTGTTCCTATTTCTCCTTGGTGTGTTGGAGGATCCCCAAGCAGTCAAAGAGGCCCAGTGGTCAACAGCAACATGGAGGGAAAAGAACCGCACAGCCTGCAGCATAGAAATTGGTGGCTTTGGGTAAAAACCAGCAGCTAGTCACAGACCTTGGGCTGTAACAAGATAAGGGTAGCCATGATTTAATCAAGGTTTCCCAACGCAGCGGAAAGGGGCAAAGGCAGGGTTATGTAACTTATTTAAAAAATTAATTTAAATTTTTAAGAAGAAATTGGACAACCATTTGCCTGACACGGTAGAGGGTTTCCTGCTTGAGCGGCGGAGGGGTGGACCTGAAGACCTCCAAGGTCTGTTATTTTCAGCCTTTCTCACATGTACTCAGTTAGCTCTTTTTTCTCCTAATCTCACTCCCGCCCTTTGTGTAAAACAAACCAAACCAAACCAAGCAAAACACCTACACATCTCCATGGAAGGAAAAGTGAAGAATTTACTTCCTCTTGACTTTTATCCATCCTGTGGAGCTTGGAGGGCTGCCGTAAGTGTAAAAGAAGTCAGTAAAAATCCTCCAGCATGATATATATATATATATGGAATTAACATCCTGGGTGGCTGGACTCACAGCTGTCTGGGGGAATAGCTGTATTTTCAAAATATTTTATCAGAGGAGCATGTTGGAAGTAGTTCTTAGGAAGACTCCCTGGGGACCATTGCAGCTACTACATGAACTTTCTTACTCTCTCTCTCTCTCTCTCTTCATTAGTGGGAAGAGCTTAAACAACTTTGCTATTTTCAGATCTGGCATCTGACCAAGATTTGGTGCTCAGTCTTTTCAGACACTTAACTAAAGGGACATTATTCCTGGGTATTAAAAAGAGGAAGTAGTTACTTCCTGGATTGCCCCACATGAGGAAATGCAGGTTGAGATGGGGCAACCAATAACCTTTTTTTTTTAACAGAACAGGCAGAAAACCTCAATTGTCTGAAATGGTACTATAGGGTTTTCCTGGTTGGACTAGAAGACCTCCAAGGTCCCTTCCAACTCTGTTATTCTGTTATTCTATTAATTGCATAGAGGAAGCAGAAGCAATGCCTGATGGGTAAAACATGAAATTAAGGTAATCCTCCCTGCCATTCATCTCCTCAATCATTCTTACGGGCGCTAGTTAAAATGAGATGCATCTGTGGAAATGTCTGAATTATAGAAATACAGAAATTATACGCATCCATGAAATTGAAGGCAGACAAACAAGATGGGCAACAGACTCATACTTATGACCACTGCAGTGTCCTGTATTCACGTGATCACTTTTGCCACTTTCTGACCAGCAAAGTCAATGGGGGAAAGCCAGATTCATTTAACAACGGTGTTACTAACTTAACAGCTGCAGTGATTCGCTTAACAACTGTGGCAAGAAAGGTCGTAACATGGGGCAAAAGTGTCTCACTTAGCACCAGAAATGTTGGGCTCAATTTTGGTTGTAAGCTGAAGGTCACCTGTATCAGGTTTTATTGTATTGGGGGAAGCCAGTTGCTTCATGTTACTTGAGAAAGTAACACAATGTCATGATAGCAGTGTTCCGGTATCTCAGGGGCTGCCCCAAAGAAGAGGGAGTCAAGCTCTTCTCCAAAGCGCCTGAAAGACAGGACAAGAAGCAACGGGTGGAAACTAACCAAAGAGAGAAACAACCTAGAACTAAGGAGAAACTTCCTGACAGTTAGAACAATTAACCAGTGGAACAACCTGCCACCAGAAGCGGTGAATGCTCCAACACTGGAAGTTTTTAAGAAGAAACTGGACAGCCATTTGTCTGAAATGGTATAGGGTTTCCTGCCTGAGCAGGGGGTTGGACTAGATGACCTCCAAGGTACCTTCCAACTTTATCATTGTTATTATTATTAAGTATGAGAAACGTTTGCTAAATCAAGTTGTTCTTTGGAAATATATCACAAGAAGTCGAGCAAAGATACTTGAGGCGAGGCTTCAAATTTCTGTGGGTTTTGCGGAATGTCAGCGACTTCTCAGGAAAAAAAAAAGAACAACCCACGTGGACTGTCTTTTATTTTTGTTCCTTATAAACCAACTTTGTTGGTTCAAGAGAGAATAACACAACTGTTTGCAGAGAAGACAAGCTGCAACCGAATAATCCTAGTTTCCTGTAAAAGAAGCTCAGCGAAAGAGGGGCAACGTGATTCTTGCAACTTCAGACAGGTAATTTTGGAGTTTACTATAACATCAAAATAGCCCTGTCTGTATCATGTCAGGATATTCATTTCTGGATATTTTAGACTGTCGAACAGTCTTTAAGAGATGGATTCTCCCTAGCAATCTTTTTCCAGTTTTATCTCTGGTGGTTCCTAGGATTTTTGCATCCAGCTTAGGCAAATTTCATCCTGGATTTGAAAAAAAGTAAGGTTCTACATTTAGGCAAGAAAAACCAAATGTACAGGTATAGTATAGGGGGTACCTTGCTCAATAGTAGTAACTGTGAGGGGGATCTAGGAGTCCTAGTGAACAATCACTTAAATATGAGCCAGCCGTGTGCTGCAGCTGCCAAAAAAGCCAACACAGTGCTAGGCTGCATTAACAGAGGGATCGAATCAAGATCACATGAAGTGTTAATACCACTTTACAAGGCCTTGGTAAGGCTACACTTGGAATACTGCATCCAGTTTTGGTCACCACGATGTAAAAAAGATGCTGAGACTCTAGAAAGAGTACAGAGAAGAGCAACAAAGATGATTAGGGGACTGGAGGCTAAAACATATAAGGGATGGTTGCTGGAATTGGATATGCCCAGTTTAATGAAGAGAAGGACGAGGGGGGATATGATAGCAGTGTTCCGGTATCTCAGGGGCTGCCCCAAAGAAGAGGGAGTCAAGCTATTCTCCAAAGCCCCCGAAGGCAGGGCGAGAAGCAACGGATGGAAACTAATCAAGGAGAGAAGCAACCTAGAACTAAGGAGAAACTTCCTGACAGTTAGAACAATTAACCAGTGGAACAACCTGCCTCCAGAAGCGGTGAATGCTCCAACACTGGAAGTTTTTAAGAAGAGACTGGACAGCCATTTGTCTGAAATGGTGTAGGGTTCCTGCCTGAGCAGGGGGTTGGACACGATGACCTCCAAGGTCCCTTCCAACTTTATTATTATTATTATTATTATTATTATTATTATTATTATTATTATTATTATTATTGTTGTTGTTGTTGTTGTTGTTGTTGTTGTTGTTGTTGTTGTTGTTGTTGTTTGATCGTTCCTAGATTGTTGCATTTATGAAAAAGAGCTTGATAGTACCACATAAGTACTGTTAGCAAAATTTCTGGGATTTCTTGTGGGTCATTTCCATTCAAGAAGGACAAAGTAGTAGAATTGGGAATAGAGAACTTGGAGAACCTGCAGAAGTTTGAAGAACTTGATCAATCAAAATGTTTTCCATCACTCCAAATCTTGGGCCAGATTATTTTTGAAAATAAGATTTTGATGGGTCAAAGCATCAGAACAAAGGCTGAATTGCCAATGGCGAACAAATGTCTAAAATCATATAAACCATTGGATGCTTCAGTTGGGCTCAGCCATCATTTAATTCAATCCCTATGAAGTAATGTAAGAAATTTGCTATTCCAGAATTCCTGATGACCTTCCAATCTCTGATGTGAAAACTTTAATTTAGGACAGCTGGTGCTTTTCCAAGCAGCCAGTTCCAACATCAGCAAAAATATTACCCTCTTTTTTTTTTTGCCTCCTCTGTAAAATGCAGAAGTATTTTGGGTGATCTCAGGAGGTGTGACACCACATTCTTCATTTCTCCTTTTAGCAAGGTTTGGTTATTCCCCACCCCCCACCCCAGTTCCTATGGGGAGAGGAGGGATGGTTTGTGGTAGAGAAGACAACTTGGGCACTTCTAAGACTGGAGGCTAAAACATATAAGGAAAGGCTGCTGGAATTGGGTATGTCTAGTTTAACGAAGAGAAGGACGAGGGGGGACATGATAGCAGTCTTCCAATATCTCAGGGGCTGCCCCAAAGAAGAGGGAGTCAAGCTATTCTCCAAAGCGCCTGAAGGCAGGAGAAGAAGCAATGGGTGGAAACTAACCAAGGAGAGAAGCAACCTGGAACTAAGGAGAAACTTCCTGACAGTTAGAACAATTAACAAGTGGAACAACCTGCCTCCAGAAGCGGTGAATGCTCCAACACTGGAAGTTTTTAAGAAGAGACTGGACAGCCATTTGTCCGAAATGGTATCAGGTTTCCTGCCTGAGCAGGGGGTTGAACTAGATGACCTCCAAGGTCCCTTCCAACTTTATTATTATTATTATTATTATTATTATTATTATTATTATTATTATTATTATTATTATTATTATTATTATTATTATTATTATTATTATTATTATTATTATTATGTATGAGAAACGATCTTCCATTTAAATCTGGTTCAGTTCGGAAAGAAATTGAGATATTTCTAAATATTAAAAGAAGCAGATTGGTTTGTTTCCAAATAAATATAACATGAGTTGGTTAAGGTTCACTCATCGTGGAAGCTGAAATGAATCCTGGGAACTGAAACCCAGCCAGTTTGGGAACTTCACATCAGGAAGGCTTGGAGAAAAGAACATGTATTTTCTTTATATTACAGATAGTCCTCGACTTACGATCACAATTGAGCCCAACGTGTCTGTGGCGAAGTGAAACATTTGTTCAGTGAATTTTGCCCCCTATCTTGCTCCAGTTGTTAAGTCAATCACTGCAGTTCTTAAGTTAGTATTATGGCTGTTAAATGAACCTGGTTTTCCCAGTGACTTGGCTTGTCAGAAGGTCGCAAAAGGAGATCACGTGACCCCAGGAGGCTGCGGCCGTCGTAAATATGAGTCAGTTGCCAAGGGTCCAAATTTTAATTACGGGACCCTGGGGACGCTGCAACGGTCGTAAGGGTGAAAAATGGTCATAAGCAAGTCACTTTTTTCAGCGCCGTTGTAACTCTGAACGGTCGCTAAACGAACTGTTGTAAGTGGAGGACTGCCTGTATTAGAGGCTTTTCAGGGTTTGTCCAAGTTGGTGGCAGGCAAGCAGATAATTCTAGTCTAGTGCATCAGAGGGCAGATAAAAAGAGGATAAAAAAGGATCTCCAGCTAGAGAACTTAAGAGAATTTAGGAACAAATCCAGGGCTATAAAGATAAACATCCCCCATTGCCCAGGCTAAGGTCAAACGTTTAGCAATCAATATAAATATACTAAATAAATATAAATATACAAAATATAAATACTGTAGCACTTTTAAAACATTGCTCTTCCAAGTTCCGGAATTCTCCAGAGCAGGGGGATGAAATAACAGGAATTCTTTGGTTCTCTCTTTTCCAGATTTTTTTTCATCTAATTTTTTTAGGTCGCCTTCTCTGCAACGTCCCGTTTGCGTCATGAATGCTAGTTCCACGGCTCTGTGGCTTCCCAATGCATCCTTGCCATCCTCCTTGGAAACAAGCTCCGATATAAACAGACTCAGAGACACTCTTAAGATCGTCTTCTACACGGTTGTTTTCCTGTTGGGTTCCTGTGGCAATGGAGTTGTGATCTGGATCACTGCCCGCCAGGTCTCACAGACCGTCAGCTGCGTCTGGTTCTTCAATCTAGCTCTGGCTGACTTTCTCTTCTCCGTGAGTCGTATCGCACCTCTTGTTGCGGTGAAGAAAGGTTGGGTCTTTGGAAGCTTTGCGTGCAAAGTCAACGGCTTCATCAAGTACCTCAACATGTTCTGCAGTGAGTTTCTCTTGGCTGCCATCAGCATGGACCGGGCCGCTTGCATCGCCCACCCGTTATGGGCCAGGAAACACCGTAACATCCGCTTGGCATGGCTTGCAGCCATCGGAGCTTGGCTCACGGCCATCGTCACCAGCATCCCTTTCTACCTTTACCGTAAGGTGGACACGAAGAAGAACCAAACCAAATGCTTGGTGATGCTCACGGGAGAAAAGCCAGGCGTGCAAGTGACCATCTCCATGTTGAGACTGATATGTGGGTTCTTGGCACCCTTCACCATCATCGTGATCTGCTACGGCATCATCCTGGTGGTGCTGAGGAGACGCCAGACCTCCCTCCACTCAAAGAAGTCCTTCAAGGTCATATTTGTCCTGGTGGTCACCTTCTTCCTCTGTTGGTTGCCCTATCACATCATCCAGCTCCTTAAATTGGCAGGAGCGGAAGGCACGGCCTTCTCGTTTACTGCTCTTTTTGCCGCGTTCTTGGCCTACCTTAACAGTTGTGTAAATCCATTCCTTTACTTCTTCATGGGCATGGACTTCCACACAAGTTTGACCCTCTATAACATCATCAGGGCCCTCAAGAGAACTTTGTTGGAAGAGAACAGCTCCATAAAGCGAAAATCCAACAGCAGCAATAAAGGATCCTTTTCGACAAATGAGCAAGCAAAATCCTCAGAAATCTCTTCGTTGAACTGTGGAAACTCAAGCCCTCAAACATGAAGTATCACACGACTGGTGAAATTTGAATGTGTGTGCCTCGGTTGTCATCTCTGTCCCAGCCCCAAACCATAATTTTGGACGTGTTGAAGTTTTAAATATCTGTAGGTGGAAAAGGCTGGCAAAACACAGCCTTTTCCCTCATAATGAGCTGTGACATTGCTTTAATTGTTTTGCATTAGTTACACAGGGTGTAGGAAATCTGTGCATCCATCTTAACTGTGGGTCCTATCTCAATGTTGATTTCTTTCGGACTCTTATTCATCGGGAACCTTATCCTAGTCCAGGGGTAGGCAACCTTGGCTCTTTTATGACGCGTGGACTTCAACTCCCAGAATTCCTGAGACAGCCATGCTGAGGGGAAAGGGAGAGGTTTCCAAGCTGAGCCACGCTGGCTCAGGCATTCTGGGAGTTGAAGTCCACAAGTCATGAGGGGGCCATAGTTCCCTCATGCTGGCTCAGGAATTCTGGGAGTTGAAGTCCACGAGTCATCAAAGAGCCAAGGTTGCCTACCCCTGCCTTAGGAATTCTGCAACGAACTTTCTCAGCTTTTCTAAATTCGAACGAAGGGCTTCGCCTTCGATTCAACTTTTCTGGAGGCATTTTGCCCTTCGTTCACAGGCCGTCCTGGACTTACAACCACAAGTGAAACCAGATTTTCTGTTGTTAAGCAAGGCGGTTGTGAAGGGAGTTATGCCCAATTTGACAACCTTTTTTTAACCATGATTGTTAGGCGAATCACTGCGGTCGTTAAATGAATCCAGCTTCCCCACATTGACTTTGCTTGTCGGAAGCCAGCTGGGAAGGTAGGCAAATGGTGATCACGTGACTCCCAGGATGCTGCAACCGTCGTAAATACATGCTCGGTTGCCAAGCAACCGAACTTTGATCAAAGTTTGATTGGTTGCTGGAATTGGGTATGTATAGTCTAATGAGGAGAAGGACGAGGGGGAACATGATAGCAGTCTTCCAATATCTCAGGGGCTGCCCCAAAGAAGAGGGAGTCAAGCTATTCTCCAAAGCACCTGAAGGCAGGACAAGAAGCAACGGATGGAAACTAACCAAAGAGAGAAGCAACCTAGAACTAAGGAGAAACTTCCTGACTGTGAGAACAATTAACCAGTGGAACAACCTGCCTCCAGAAGCTGTGAATGCTCCAACACTGGAGGTTTTTAAGAAGAGATTGGACAACCATTTGTCTGAAATGGTATAGGGCCGTGGTGGTGAACCTATGGCACGCATGCCATAGGTGGCACGCAAAGCCCTCTCTGTGGGCATGTGTGCCGTCACTCCACTCCTAGGCCTTCAGCTGGGTTTTATAAAACCTTTTCGCTTTAGGCCTCCGCCGCCATGTGCAAAAAAAAAAAGTTCAATCAATCAATCAATCAATCTTGCAAAGTTGGAATTGATTGATTGATTGAACTTTTTAGTCCCACCCAGTCTGCTGTTACCACCAAAGCCACTGCCCACCCAATGGGCCACGCCCACCCAATGGGACATGCCCACCTGGCACCTGACGATACGTAAGTGGATTTTGGGTTGCAATTTGGGCACTCGGTCTCTAAAAGTTTGCCATCACTGGTATAGAGTTTCCTGCCTGAGCAGGGGGTTGGACTAGATGACCTCCAAGGTCCCTTCCAAATTCTATTCTATTCTATTCTATTTCTATTCTATTCTTCTAGACAGGAATAAACAGAGGACCAGCCAGGTGTGTTTTCACTTAAAGGATTTATGCAATAAATATTCCATACATGGTTTTGTACACGGCTTCCCTTTGAACAGTGTTCCCAGGTTTTTAAAGAAAAGACCCAAAACACACAATAAATATACAGAGTTCTATACAGGGTGGGGAGAAGTTCTCCCTTCTGATCAAGGAAAGCGGCAGTTCCGATCAAAGTGTCCAACACAACTCTCAAGAACATTTTCACATAAGCCAAATGACTTACAGTATGTCATTGCAAAAATCTCATCTGATTTCCAGACAGTGTCCTTTTCTTAGTTAAGGGCATCTTCCAGAGAAATCGGTATGAATTCTCTGGAATAGACTGCGATCTTTCATGCAACTGGCTGGAATCCATACCAACAGCCTGCCTTCCAAAATGCCATCTGAAGTCTTCTCCAGCAGACCATGTGATCAGAAATGTCTTCTGAACTGGGTCCATTGAAAACAACACAAAACATCCAACCTATCCATCTTCAAGGATCAACAGTTGGAACTCTGGGTTACTGGACAGGCGCTAAATGGTAGTTAGACTCCAACAAACACATAAAGCATCCAGCTTCTGCCACTGGATTCCCTCGTTGATCAGTTTTCCCTTAGAAGGAGATATCCCAGCAAAACCTTGGGAAGAAATGCTACATTCCCAAAGCGATGTTTGTATGAAAAATCTGGTCAGTAGCGGGTGTTCTCCTCAGCTGCTGTGACAATTGCATCCATCCAGATCCTCATAGCCTCTGGACTTGGTGCCACCATACAGAAGAGACGATCATAAGTCTTGACGCAGAAGGTCAGTTTGGGGTTGGGACTCTGCCAAAAGTAAAAAGAGTAAAGAAATGAAATGAAAATAATTGGCTGTATTCGCACAGAATCTCTTAGTCCACTTACTGAATATAGATCACTATACACCCCCCGAATTAGGGTCATTTTTTTCTTTCTATCTAGTGTTTTTCTGCCAGTGCAGGCTCCACTTTTTCTCCCAGATCAACCAAGTGTGGTCCACTGGTTCCATAGAAATTGACCAGTTGACTTGTCACCCAAGCCCGACATAGTGGGCTGAGAGAGAGTGACTGGTCCAAAGTGCCCCAGATGGCTTTCATAACTAAGGCAAGTCTAGAACTCACAGTCTCCTGGTGATTGGCCCAAAGTCACCCAGCCAGATTTCATTCCTAAGGCAGAACTAGAACTCACCATCTCCTGGTGATTGGCCCAAAGTCACCCAGCCAGATTTCATTCCTAAGGCAGCACTAGAACTCACTCTCTCCTGGTGACTAGAATTCACTGTCTCCTGGTTTCTAGCCTGGTGCCTTCATCTTTATACCAAAATGCTGGCCTAAATTAACTCAATGTGCTGGCCTCATTGCTATAAGCAATGGACATAAGCAACCACAGAAAACCTAATTAAGATTTGTATCGCTATACAGTGTGTCAATGCAACCATGAGATTTATAACGGACATTTATAATGCGTGTTGCGTGAAGATCATTGTGTAAAAATATAAATTCCGTATTACTTTAAAGAATGACTTGTTTCTCCTTTGTTTATTTAGCATGTTTGCATACAACTGCCCTTGAACCCTCACTCTTAGAAATAAATAAAACAGTTAGTGCAAAGGATAATAAAATAAACAGTAGAAAAAGGTCACAAAGCATTACAGCATTAACATTTCAAGAGAAAGGCCCATAACGAAGCAAACTCAGCAGCTGTTAGCAGTTAAAACTGGCAGGAATTAAAACTGGGTTGTAAAGGGGAAAAGCTAAATACATTAAAAAATATGTCTTGGGGCTTTTCTTAAGTGATGTCAGTGAAGAAGTCAAGATAATTGATTTGGGGAGGGAAGGAAGTACGCAAAATGTGACAACTTTTCCAAGGAACTCAGAGCAACTTGATCTTGGACTTGTTTCATTATTCAGTTATTTGAACTACTGCAGGGGAGTATACAGAGGTGATGGGAAACTTTGCAGAGGTTGCTATTTGCTCAGTTCTTGCCCTCTTCAAGTAAGATTCCCAGGCCTAATATAAAGGGAAAAAAAGCATCTTTTGTATAAATAGTTCTGGATACAATTTATTAGGTATAAGATGCTTCTCAAGAGCTGTTTTGACTGAGCCAGTTCAAACTTCATGTCTCTGTTCCTGGAAATTATTGAGTTTACGGTTATATATACTATATCAGATGTTGTCTGCCTGGAATTGTGACTCTTGGGGGTGTGGGTGAAATATTTTGGGAGGGGGGCTTGCACATCAGAAGTTGGATTGCTGTTCCAACTCAGCCTGGACAAACCTGCATAAGTAAAGACTGTGTGTATTTGTGGCTAGAAAAAAACAAGTATCAAATCAAAATGTATGTGAGACATTAAAATGTCTCAGATTTTAGGAATTAGGCAAAACAGAGCACGCTCACCTTTCTCATTCAGAAACCAAAAAGATTCAGTGGGATTGTTTTATTGTTTATTTCTAATGAAGAGGTTTTATTGGATAAAGTTGCAAGGCTGCACTTTGGTTTTATTTGACACAGACTTGGTTAAAATGTGAGTATTAAAAGGAAGTGGCATGCACATTTTTGCCTACGTCCAGGGAAATGATCAATGGAGGAGAACAGTGTCAAATATATCTAGCTATCATTCAGAGTGAGACATAACTCTTGTAGTATTTAGCTGATGGGCTGATAACATCCTTGTTTCTGAGCAAACCAGCCTATAATAGCTACTAACAAAAATCGAACATCATAAATAAAACCCTAAATTCATGAAAATACACTACTTTCTCAAACTTGACAACTTTAAGACAAGTGGATTTCAGCTCCCAGAATTCCCCAGCCAACTGGGGGATCCTGGGAGTTGAAGTCCACATGACCTAAAGTCACCAAGTTCGAGAAACAATGCATACTATACTATAATATATAATATCATCTAACACAAGAGACAGAGACAGAACTGAAATTCACAGCCCAAGCAGACAGTCTTAAAATCGGTCTAGAGCAGAAGGCTTAGGTGTAAAACTTAATTTTTAAAATTTTAAGGTGCAGCCCAGTATTGTGGAAATTTATTCAAAACGCATCATTTTGCATGGCTCCAAAGAATAATAAAGTAAAAGCAATTTTTGAGGAGCAATTCTGGGAAGGGGGGGGCTGGGCCACTCAGCCCAAAATTCTAATGGTCCAAATTGGTTTGGATCCTACAGGCCCTCCCAGGTCTGCATGAATTAAAAAAGAGACTTTCGGCAAATCTCTATTCTTGGTACCTTGAAAGCACTACGGAGATGGTCGCAGTAAACCTCTTCAATGGCCTGGAAGTAGATCACACCCTTAAGCTTGGTCTCTTCTTTATCTGGAGGAGGAATAAAATAAAACCACAGCACCATGTTAGCAAGCTGGGGAGAACAGAGAATGAAGGCCCAATGGATAAAATGAGAGAGGTGAAATTCATTGCTCTAATCTTTTCTTTAAGCACGTCTTCCTTCCCCTGTCCTGACCACTTTCTACAGGGGGACGATCAAGAGCATCCTGTCATACAGCATCACAGTCTGGTTTGGAAGCATCACTGCTTCAGACAGGAAGGCGGTGCAGAGAGTGGTGAGGACGGCAGAAAAGATGATTGGCACTCCACTCCCTCCCATCCAGGACATAGCACAGAAGCGTTGCTTGAGCAGGGTCTGTAAGATTATCTGGGACCCTACACATCCTCTCCACGACCTGTTTTCCTTGCTACCTTCTGGGAGGAGGCTTCATGGTATCCGTAGCAGATAGAACATCCAGATTCAGCCATAGTTTCATTCCATACAGCATTAACCTTGTGAACTTTCAAGCGTCCTCCTTCCGTTATATATTCAAGGTGGACAGTATTTAATATTTATTTGTTATGCATATGTAGGGGTGTGGGTCTATACCAGTGGTGGCGAACCTATGGCACGCGTGCCAGAGGGGGCACTCGGAGCCTTCTCTGTGGGCACGCGTGCCTCGCTCTTTGGCTAAGTTTTTGCAGGAAAAAAGCCATTTCTCAAGCCCCTTCCTAGCCAAAACAAATCTCTGGAGCGAGCGCGCTGTTTTGAGCTTTGAATTATATCAAATCTGACACCAGAAACAGACTAACAGAGGACCTGAGTGCTGCATGTGTTGCTTTCAAACTTACAAAGTATAAGCCAAGGTTAGACAAATTATCAGCATGCATACAACAGCAAAAATCACATTAATTGTTCAAAAGCATGCCAAATGCAAACTTTTACCTTTTAGTAAAAAGTTGTTTGTATCATTGAAAGCTTTGCTATTGTGTTTTTCTTTTAAGACAAAAGATGTTAATATATGAGTTGTTTTTTCTAAATTAAAAACTCAGTATTCAGATTAAATTGCCGTGTTGGCACTTTGCGTTAAATAAGTGGGTTTTGGGTTGCAGTTTGGGCACTCGGTCTCTAAAAGATTCGCCATCACTGGTCTATACATATGTTGTATATTGTATGTTTTAGGGGTGTGTCATGTATGTGTTTCACTTTGAGAGCGGGCAACTAAATTTCGTTTCTGATGTGTGCCGTTGTGCCCACAGAAAAAAAAAATGACAATAAAGGTTATCTTATCTTACAATAAGTTTAAACGGGTCAATTCAAGACCTACTGCCCATGGAAGGCCAAGTCTTCTCCATCAGCAGCAGAGAGTGCAACCTGGTGGAGAAGGAGCTACCTGCCTCGATTCTCTCTCTCACCTGTGTAGTACGCCAAGACCCGCTTCTGGCGATCAAAGGTGAACCAACGTTTCTTCCAAGTTTTGATCCTCCCGCCCATTTTGACCAGGTAACCCTTGCAAGATTTGCTGGTCACCCTCGTGTGCTGGCAGGTCTCGACGCTATGTCCCGAGGCCTCTAGATGTTTGCGCAGGTCAAAGGCAGCTGGTTTGGGTTCCTGGATCTCCATGTGGTTGTGGATCTGTAGGACAACAAGAAGGCAAGGCTTAAAAACCAGACAGATGTCAGTCCAAGGAAGATCTGTGCTGTGGTTTATTGCCCTCAGGAAGACCACCTCATTTTGAGGAAAGAGATTTGGGGATCTCAGCATTCTTCCTACACTGCCATGTTGGAATAAATGGCCCATCCCTGTAAATGGCCCATCCCTGTAACATAAGCAACTGTTTTAAAGGTAAGTCTTCCATGGGCCCCTCAGCGTATCTTAACAGGAGACCAGAAAATAAGCTTCTACTCTTTCTAACTTCTTCCAACCTGTATCTTTACTATTTAGATCAGGGGTATGCAACCTTGGCAACTTTAAGACCTGAGGACTTCAACTCCCAGAATTCCCCAACCAGCCATGCTGAAGTTGAAGTCCACAGGTCTTAAAAGTTGCCAAAGTTGGATACCCCTGATTTAGACAATCACCACTGATGAAAATACTAAAGATTAAACTGAACTCTAAATCTGGAGTAACAAGACATGCTCACTAAACATTCTGGACCCGAACAAACAATGACAATGCTCAACAGCATGCGAAGACAATGTCTGGATTCCCCTCTAACCCAGGGGTAGGCAACCTTGGCTCTTTTATGACTCGTGGACTTCAACTCCCAGAATTCCTGAGCCAGCCATGCTGAGGAGAAAAAGAGAAGTTTCCATGCTGAGCCATGCTGGCTCAGGAATTCTGGGAGTTGAAGTCCACGAGTCATAGGTTGCCTACCCCTGCCCTAACCAGACAAACTTCCCAACCCCATTTTAACCTGGTTTAGCTGGCTAAGAAAACCCACCGAGCCATAATTAAGGCAAACCTTGACATTTTCAATAGATTCCCTTCCCTCTCAGCTCAAACGCCGGATCTCCTCAAAGATCGAAAAAGATTGGCAAAGCAAATTTATATTCTTGGGTTCTAGATAAGGACGGAGATTTTCTTACCACGTTTGAAGGGGACAATTCCATACGTTTCACCTCCTCAGCTACTTTCATAGCTTCCTGAAAGGAAAGACGATTGAAGGCGGTCTGCACATGGTAAGAACATGGGACCGGAACCCCATTCCAGCAGCTGCAGACATATCACCCCCTCAAAAAACAAAACAAAAAAACCCAAAACCCAAGCATACACAAGAAAGACCACAAGCGCTTTCTCTTCCTCCAGGACAAACTCTGGATATTTTTACCCAGCATGCAGGAAGAGCCGTCCAAAAGCTGACAGGGTGAAATTTCCAACTTCCTCATTTTCAAAATCACGTGAGAAGCAGATGAGAAGCAGGGTTACTCCGGTTTAGAGCAAAAATCAAAGCAATGAGCCAGAGGTGATGTGATGTGATGTTACGTTTTTTTTTCCATGATAGAGACTTTAGGGTGATTAGAATGGTTCCCAACTCTGTTAGTCTTTCATAAGGCCCTAAAAACCTGGCTATGCTGAATGGGTTAAGGGTCCCAGTTCTTGGCTGTATTGCTAACTGATCAAATATCTTGATCCTATGTATATTTAATCTGGATGTTTTTAGCGGTTTTAATTGTAATGTATTTTCTAAATTGTAAGCTGCCCAGAGCCATGGATTGAAATGGGCAGCTATAGAAATGGAAAGAAAGAAAGAAAGAAAGAAAGAAAGAAAGGAAGGAAGGAAGGAAGGAAGGAAGGAAGGAAGGAAGGAAGGAAGGAAGGAAAAGAAAAAGAAAGGAAAGAAAGGAAGGAAGGAAGAAAAAGAAAAAGAAAGAAAGAAAGAAAGAGAAAAGAAAGAAAGGAAGGAAGGAAGGAAGGAAGGAAAGAAGGAAGGAAGAAAGAAAGAAAGAAAGAAAGAAAGAAAGAAAGAAAGAAAGAAAGAAAGAAAGAAAGAAAGAAAGAAAGAAAATTCTCAGAGGTGCTTTTCAAAAGGCAATTGGACTTTCTTGATTTTGACCTGGATGATTGAATGAATTGAATGAATGAATGAATGAATGAATGACAAAAATTTGGCTATGGTCCAGGAGTTGAGTCTACCTCTTACCCTTTCTTTCAGCAATCGTTCCCGTTCCGCCATGGCTTCCCGCACCCGGCGTTCCATCTCTGCCAGTTTGGTGACGCAGTTTTCAAGGCTGTTGGGAGAAATACCCAGATAATGCCAATCAATCCAGATGTATGGCCAATGGAAAGGAAACAGGCCCACTATAGGAAATCTTTGATTCCTCAGACCATATAATTTTAAGATAGGAAGTGATCTTGGAATTTAATCCATTAGGTCTCTTGGTGGAACAATTTGGTACCTGTAGCATCCCTGAGAATTGTCTGAAAGTTGAGTCACAGCAACTGGACTTACGTTCTTGTTAGTTTGAGATGTTTCGCTGCCCCTCCAAGCGGCTTCTTCAGTCTGAACAAGTCGGTTAGAGGAATTTGAGTAGGCAAAGAGTCATTGGAATGTGCCGAATCCTAAAATTCTAGGGGGATCCCCGCACCAGCTGTTGGGATAGGCAGCAAAACCTTTCAAACCAACAAGAACATGAGTCCAGTTGCCACGGGTCAACCTCCAGACATTTCTACCTGGATGACTAAGAATCTTCATCGACATCCCTCAGAGTTGATCACCTGGACTCTGCCTAAATACCTCTAGTCCTGGACTAGAACTAGAGAGAGCTAGTTAAAGTCAAAAGTGAGCAAATAGTGCAATATCAAAAGTGCAATATTAGGGGCAATGCAATGGCGAATAGAATGTGAAGGATGTGTGTAAATAATGGATGTTCGTAGTTGTGGTTTTAACTTGGGTGTAGTGTGCACTGTGGACAGCACTTAATTTTGTTGTGAGTTACACAATGACAATAAAGATATTCTATTCTGTTCTGTTCTGTTCTATTCCATTCCATTCCATTCTCTAGTCCAATCCTCTATTCTATTCTATTCTATTCTATTCTATTCTATTCTATTCTATTCTATTCTATTCTATTCTATTCTATTCTATTCCATTCCATTCCATTCCATTCCATTCTCTAGTCCAGTCCAGTCCCGTATTCTATTCTATTCTATTCTATTCTATTCTATTCTATTCTATTCTATTCCATTCCATTCCATTCCATTCCATTCCATTCCATTCCATTCCATTCCATTCTCTAGTCCAGTCCAGTCCCGTATTCTATTCTATTCTATTCTATTCTATTCTATTCTATTCTATTCTATTCTATTCTATTCTATTCTATTCTATTCTATTCTATTCTATTCTATTCAGGGGGAGAGGAAATGTGAAAATTCTTTTTCCAGTAGGTTTGCCCTAGTCTTATCAGTCTTAAACCCTGAACCTATCTCATCATTCATAAGAACATGGATTCCTTCCAAGGAACATGGATTCCTTAGCAGCTGTGGACAGAATGACATTTGGGGGAGGGCCAATTTAGTTTTTCTGGAGATGACTGCAAAGGACAAACTTAACTAGAACTTTGGTGAAGCGGGCTGGAATTAAAGAATTAAAGGCATCAATGGGATGAGAATAGGATGATCTGACCTGTAAGGTCCTTGCGAAGTTCCTCCCAGCTGCCTGGTAGTTGCCTGGCCACCCAGCAGCTGGTAAAGGGGTTTGTTGTAACGTGAGAATTGGAGGTTTGGGCTTCCCAGATAATGACCGTTGCTTCCACTGGAGAGCTGAGCCACGAGAAGACTGGGGTCCAGAGCACCTAGAAGAGATAAGCAGATGCCAAGATAAGATCAGGACCCTCAGAAGACATCTTAAAATCAACTTCATTTTGGTCCAGTTGCTACTTTTGGTCCAGCTTATGATTTTAGGACTGTCCTACTGACCTTGTTAGGACCGTATTTGAGCGGGAAAACCTCTTGGCCTGCCAAAACTCTCATTCAGTGTTGACAATCGGTGAAGGAAGAATATTCAACACTACCAAAGAATTTTGTGGCACCTCAATTAACACCGATGTGTCATGGTTCCAACAGATGAAACTCTTCAAAGAATTTCGAGGCATTGTTTACCTTAAAGAATCTTGATATTCAAGTTGCATGGCATCGGCACGTACATGGTCGAAGCCGAAATATGAATTCCCCTCCCCTGAGCTCATAGTATCAAAGCACAATTCCCTCCTCCAATTAACAGTCATAAATCACATTCTCCAATTAGTTTGAATTGCAGGCTTTCCCTCCTGATCTCTAACCCGCCAATTCTTATCATCTCTTATTTCAAGCTCTGAATTCACACACTAGTACAATATTGTTATGTCTAACTAACTCCCACCACATTCCGCCTTCTCCCCCAGCATCATCTAATTCTAAGAGTAAAGCATAAGAAAGGAAAAGGCTGCATCTTCATATGTTGTCAAAGCAAGAACATCCAATGTTAGCAGCGTTGACACGATGCTTGTATGGGACCAATGGCATCATCCAAATGTTTCTCCCCCCCCCCCCCGTCTTTTTCTACCTCTCTCCCTTGGAATTCCAGACCAAGAAATCCAGTGGAACCACTGAACAAATTCTCAGGTAAAAACTCAAGAGATCTTGAGAAACTCGGCTATGATGTGAGTTTTCAACGATGCTTCTTTATAAGAAAATGTCCCGTTTTTCATTTTGGTGGTCAGTGGGTACCAAAGGGTGGGTGTTCCACTGGTATAGGTGGTTCCCCCATGTCCATGCACCCCAATCCACCCACTGAACACATACCATGCATTGAAATGGGACGTTGAGGAGGGCAGGCTGGGAGACGGTTCTTACTCCTGCGAGGTAGACTGGCAGTCCGCTGCAGTCCAAGTGAACTCTGTGAAGAGAAAGCAAAGAACGTAAAGCAGGGGTCTTCAAACTTGGCCACTTTAAGACTTGTGGACTTCAACTTCCAGAGTTCCTCAATTCTGGGAGTTGAAGTCCACAAGTCTTAAAGTGGCCAAGTTTGAAGACCCCTGAATGGCTGAGGAATTCTGGGAGTTGAAGTCCACCAGTCTTAAAGTGGCCAAGTTTGAAGACCCCCGAGGTAAAGTGAGTCTCCTTCAGCAGCAATTTGAATGAGTATAACCCGGCCTTCCCAAGATGCAATTTGTTTCTGCATCCGTTGTGGTTCTTTGATCTTGTCTTGATCCTGACTCGCTAATGAGTTGAATTCTGGGCGTATCTCATGGAAACAGAATCCTGGGCCACTTCAAAATGTTAGCTGGGTTCACACAACTACTTCACCCAGGTCAGCTAATTGTGAACAGTGCAAGGCTACGCTGGGTTGCTGGCTGGGGAATTCTGGGAGTTGAAGTCCATATATCTTAAAGTTGCCACGGTTAAGAAACACTATTCTACAGAAACTACTCCAGCCCTTTAAGACCCCTTTTTCCTTAGGCACAGTAAACAAATACAACTTTAGTCTTGAGTCATGCTAAATTTGGGGGGATTTCTTTGTTAATCTTATTCTTCCTGTTTAGTGTCTTTGGTCATTAATCATTTTTAAGAGGTTGGGCTAAGTTTACAATTTACTTTTTTCAGCTGTTTTCCAGTAAGTTTTAAAAAAAGATTTGGGGAGGATAGAGGCAGAAAATTCATTGGAGAGCATTCACATCCCTTAAACATTAATTTTAATGGTAACCCAAATCAATGTAAGGATTGTCTCCATTATTTTGGGTAACAGAAGTGAGTAACTGGTATGGAAACCTCAAAATACAAAATTCTTTTTTATATTCTATTATTTGATATTCTAAATATTCTCTTCTGAAATAAGCTCAGCAAATGTTGGTAATTTAGGGCCAATTCAAGGCTTTTTGCCAAAGCCTAAGGATTATCCAAATGCTGTCATTATATATATTCCATCTTTATATTTCACCTTTTTATTTCCTGATGAAAAAAAATCCATTAAAAGTTACCAGAGATAACAACAAATCTATTTTAACCTTGATCAAATAAACCAACCTTATATCCTTTTACTTTTAACAAAGATCAAAACTGTTAAAAAAGTAAAAGGAAGGGATATTGTTATTGTATCTCTACCGTACTTCTTTGTGTACAGTTCAGGATAACTGGTCCCATTGCCCCAAGACAGTGACATTGCTACTTTTTATATTAATTACTTAACCGCTAGTTCTATAATACTCTATTTCAGGGGTGTCAAACTCACAACGTCACGTGATGTGTCGAGACGTATCGTGACTTTTTTCCCATTGCCGGCAATGGGGTGGGCACGGTTTCACTATGATGCTTCCAGCCCGCGGGCCAGCAGTTTGACACCCCTGCTTTATTTATAGAAACTCTTTTGGGAGGGAAAAAAAGTCTGTCTTGAAATCCAACACAGACATCCGCAACGAACAGACAAATAAATGTTCATCGGGCACCCTCTCTCAATAGCAACAGATATAATGGGAAAAAAAGACAATGCAAATCTTAAGCTTTTGTATCACTTTAGCCCATGTAAAAGGACGGCACTGAACATTAACCCAGGCCAAAGAGACACAACTGACCTTGACAGAACTGCAGACAGAGAAGACACAGGAGGACGCGTCTGATTGGTCGGAACCCAAGACAATGACCTTCCGATCCGTTTTTTGGGTAAAAGTCAGCTGTAGGGAGACAGACACTTATCAGTGTGAGCATCAGTCCTGGATGGAGGGTGGGGATGGAGGAAAGGGCCTGCTTTTCCAAATACGAAATGCCAAATCCAAGCAGGTCCTCCAGATGTTGCTGAACTTCAACCCTGGAACATCTGGAGGGCCCCGTAATCCCCATTCTCTGGACTAGAACCGAACTAACACAAGAAGGGACTTAAAAGACTGAATTTGCATACTATGTCAGGCGAGGCTAAAAAGAGGCTGGATTCCACATGTTGTGGGATTCCGGCCTTCGTATTGGCACGTTGCGTGAACAGCAGCTCAGGTGTAAAAATTCAGGCCCAGCAGTGACTGCCTCTTCTATATCAGGGCTTTTCAACCAGTGGTACGGGTACCACCTGTGGTACATTGGCACCTGGCAGGTGGTACGTGTCCATCCTAGAAAAGTGGTAGCAGGGGAGGGGAATGAGCTGAACCGGTGGCAGCACCACACAAGCCTGAGCGAGAGATGACTGGAGCTGCAGGGCTGTCAGGGCTCAGTGGAAGCGCCAGGATCAGCACCAGGCTCCAGCTGGAACTCGGCACCGATCCTGGCGCTTCTGCTGAGCCCAGAAGAAGCGCCGATCAGCTGGAATGTTGCAGCATCTCCAGGGTCTTGTGATTTACATTCAGATGCTTGGCAATTGATCCATATTTATGACGGTCACAGTGTCCCAGGGTCATGTGAAGCGACCAAAACCTGCTGCAACCACCCAGCAGACGGGGGGAATAAAAACCAAACACCCCCACCCCACCCCTGCTGCCAATCCTCAACAGAAATGCTCACAACAATGAAAACTTCAGACAGGAGGAAGAGCGCCGCCGGGTGGGCAGGCAGGTGTCTTGCTCGGCTGTGGCTTGGGGGGCACTTTTTTCAGTGCCATCGTAACTGCGAACAGTCACTAAGTGAACTGTTGTAAGTCGAGGACTACCTGTACTTCATCACTTTTTTCCTTTTTTTTTTTTGGTCAAGTTTTTGACACCTTGCTAGGTGACTGGTGCTACTCAGATGTTGCCATATCTTAAAAGTGGTACAAGGGGTGAAAAGGTTGAAAAGCCCTGTTCTATATCAGTGGTGGCGAACCTATGGCACACGTGCCAGAGGTGGCACTCGGAGCCCTCTCTGTGGGCACGCGCAACGTTGCCCCAGTCCCGCTTCCCCCCGCAGCCCCCTCGTCACCAGCAGCCTGCCTGGAGGAGAGGCTCCTCCAGGTGCAGCCCATGCAGAGCAGCACAGCCAAGCACATGGCAGCCGGGCAGCAGGGGAAAGACTCCATCCTCGTGCATCACGGGCAGATGATGCTGCGGGGTGCGGGCGGATGGCGTGGCCGCCATGGCGCTGCCAGGCTGCCTGGGCGATCTGTGGTGAGTGGCCCTGTGGGCGGGCTGAGCAGGGGGCAGAGCGGGGGGCAGAGCGGGGGCAGAGCAGGGGGTGGGCCTGTTTTGGGGCACTCGGTCTCTAAAAGGTTCGCCATCACTGTTCTATATCCTCATATAGCAGGATTTTGCTGCTTGGACACACTTCTCCACATTGCAACATCCCTCTTTTTAAATTACAGGACCAGAAGACGCTGCCCTCTGTTTTGATCTCCCATGAGCAGGAAGCATCACGACACTACCACAACCCTGTAAGGTAGGCTGGGCTGAGAGCTTGCTTTGATTCCCAAGCTCAAACTGGGTGATTTTGGGCCAGTCTTTCTCTCTAGGCCCAACCTACCTCCCAGGGTTCTTGTAGTGGGGCAAATAGGAGGAGGAAGGGGTGTGGATCTGTTCACTGCCTTGAGTTATTTGCAAAAATAATATAGGCAGGGTATCAATAAATACAGGCAGCCCTTGACTTACAACAGTCCGTTTAGTGACCGTTCAAAGTTACAACGGCACTGAAAAAAAACGACTTATGACTTTTTTTCACACTTATGACCCTTGCAGCTTTCCCACGGTCACGTGATCAACGTTCAGACGCTTGGCAGCTGACTCACACTTACGACGGTCGCAGTGTCCCAGGGTCACGGGATTCCCTTTTGCAGACCTTCTGACCAGCAAAGTCAATGGGGAGGGGGGGGAAGCCAGCTTCACTTAACAACCAGATTACTAACTTATCAACTGCAGTGATTCACTTAACAGCCGAGGCAAGAACGGTCGTAAAATGGGGCAAAGCTCACTTAACAACAGAAACGTTGGGCTCAATTATGGTTGTAAGCTGAGGACTATCTGTAAAAAATAAAACCACTCTGCAGTGAAGCCACTTGGCTGAGCTTCTCCAACCATTGTGTTTCAACGCCCCACACACACACACACACACACACACACACACACACACACACACACAAAGTTGCATCTGTTAAAGTTTCTACCTGCTTTAATTCATTAAAAGCCATGAAAAGGGGAAGAGAGTAGCCGTCTGCGTCTAGACGTGCCCTAATGTGGAGGATCACGAGGTTCTCCTGATTGGGCAATTCAGCCTTGGATGCCCTCAAGAAGAGGGAGATAGAGAAGCACTGCAAAGTCCTAGAGAGGCTTACCTGTGTCACACCCTCCTTATTTTCTGACAGGCCCTGCCCGTTCTCCGAATACTCCTGGCTCATGTCCATGAGGCGACTTTTCTCCTAAATGCAGGCAAGCAACCAAGTCATTCTTTGAGACAGGAAAGCCATTTCACAATGACTGGAGAAGTTTCTGCGGAAGCATATCTCAGCCTGCCCCATCAGCTGCATTGTGCTGCCTCCTAATGTCTAGACCCGTGTTTTTCAAGCTTGGCAGCTGGAAGGTGTGTGGACTTCAACTCCCAGAATTCCAGAGTGTGGACTTCCAACTCCCAGCTGGCTGGGAAGTTCTGGGAGTTGAAGTCCACACGCTGGAATTCGTGTTTCCAAGTTTGAAAAAGATCCACTTAGAC